GAAGAAAAATATGGTGGAAATGCCTGGAAACGGCGACGTTCCGTTTACTCATGCGAATATTAGTTCGGCTCGGAAGGAACTCGGGTATAAACCGACCACGGATTTGCAGACCGGGTTGAAGAAGTTCGTCAGATGGTATTTATCGTATTATGGCTATAATCACGGAAAACCTGTAAATTAAAAAATTTTAAAAAGGGGAATTTTATTTTACTTTTTTTTTTTTAATATAATTAATTTTCTCTCTGGCTTTTAAGTATTCCCTAAAAGATAGATTTTTTTTTTTTAATTTCGTAAAAAAAAAAAAAAAAAAAATTAAAGATGAGCTTTCTCTGTATTCTTCTTTTTCTGTGTTTTTTTTTTCTTTTCTTTTTTGTTTAAAGGAAAAGAAAGATGTTGAAGTTTGGTAATGGTGATCATTTCTTGATTTATCTTTTTTTTTTTAATTTAAATTTTGTTTTTTACGTGGAGTGTACGCGCCTTGAGGGCGCGTGGGGATAGGTGAGAGGTTTAAGTGGGCCTAGCCGACAATATTTATATTCATCAGAAGAGACAGCTAAGAGAAGAGGACGAGAAAGGAATTTATTTATTTATTTTTATTTATTTTTTTATTCCTTTATTTGCGACGACGGAGAACCGTAATATGCAGTAGAAGTGGGGCCCACCCACCACTGACTTTCGCAGAAATAAAGGCGTACGGTAGCCGTTGGATTCGGCTGCCGGGAAAAGAAAGTTAAAAATCATTCAGAGGTGGTGATTTTTCCAGCTGGCAAGTGGTCCCCACACGCCGCAAGAATTTGTTTCCTTTTGCCGACAAAGTTTTTCGGGGTTTTTTTTTTTTTTTTTAACAGTTTTATTCTTTGCTTATATACCCCCAAAGATTCTGAAATTTATTTTTTTATAATTAATATGAAATTAATTATCATTTTACTTCCAATTAAGTTTTTTTTAGTTCGATAGTTTAATATATTAATATAAAAAATATATTTTAATCGGTTGAACTATCCTCAAATTAATTTGTTATTATTTTGTAATAAATAAATAAATTTGGATGACTAGTTTAAATTTGATTATTGAAATTTATTAAATATCGCATAATAATTATCATGATATTGACTACTACTAAGCTCGACGACTTTCGACAATATTTGTATGAAATTAGTTATCAAATCATAAATTTTAATTTTTTCCAATTATATTAGCTCAAACAAATCAATTTCTTCAACGAGACGGTCAATTCTTAAAATAGAGTAATTAAATCCATTTGAAGCTCTATCTTATCCATTATCCATAAATATCGTGTTTTGTTGTTTGAACTCTTTTTCTACATTGATTAGTCTCTATCTATTTGAAAATTGTAACGGGGCAGAGACAAGGACAATGAATATAATCCCGTCTTCAGTTTCATTTATCTAACAGAGAAAGAATGTTCCCCATTACTTCCCCAATTTTACGTCTAAATGGGAAATTTCCTTTCTGTACAGAGCGAGTCTTCGTGGAGTCCAGCTCCACAGGTAAAATAGACATCTCTGGTCGAGATTGAATTTTACGAGACTTAGATGGAATTTTCAAGTTCTTCCTATTTAACGTGAGACAAATCAATCAAACCGAACAAATATGAATCCCTTTTTTACCCTCATCGGAACTTTATTCAAAATTTGTGTATGAAAAAACTTGTATGAGATGAAGCATATGTTCCAATTTAAAGTAGTAACCATCAAGATGGCTTTTTCAATAAAGAGAAAATTATGTCAAAATTTTTCATCATTATCCTTTCATTTAATTTGAAATATTTTATTTTAAAAAAATACAATTAATCAATAAAATAGCTTTTATTTAAAAAATATTTTAATCTTCCGTGTCCACTTTTAAGTAATTATTAATTAGTGAGAGGCTTATTAAATAATAACTTATAATTATAATTATTATTTTCAACTCAATTATGAGTGTTTTGCTTCCCACGCTTCAATATTTAATAATTATAATTATATATATAAATAAAAGAAGTTTAAATTAAGCAAGAATTATTAATTTCCTTTTTAAATTCCACAAATTTAGACCCACCGACAGTTATTTAATGACCATTTTCAGCAGCAAACACGTGGAGCATTTTCATTGGTTAAATAAAGTTGAAAAATGAGAGAGATCCGTATTTTTTTTAATATATATATTTTTTATTTTTTTTCATTTTCGTTTTCGTTTTTTCTTGAAATTAATGTAATGCCTATTGAATTTTATATATATATATATATATATATATATATATATATATATATATATATATATATATATAGTACACGATGCGTGTACTCCTTGCACGATGCAGACCTCAGTCATCGACCAGTAAATCAAGGATCGGTCAACTTCAGTACTTCTTCCCAATTTCTGCTCGAGTACCCTCCTCGTTAGTCTCCACTCAGTACAACATAATACAGTTTTCACATAGTACAGTTGACGACTCCACATCCACATCCTCCGCACAATACATTCTTCCGTTTTTAGTTGGTAACTCGTCCTCACATAGTTGCTCTCTTCAGTTGGTGTCTTCCTTCCACAGTTATCCTCCGTGCACTNGGGGGGGGGGGGGGGGGGGGGGTGTACATCCTCAGTCCTCGACTAGTGCATCAAAGCCTGTATCTCAGTTCTTCTTCCTTTCTTCAATAGTTTATCCTTCTCGCAATGCACTCTACCGTCTTCAGTCGACGCCTCCTCCTCGCAATGCACTCTAAAAGTTGAGTTGAGTCGGATTTATTATTTAATAAGGATTGTTTGAGTTGAAAATAATATACAATCCGAACAACTAGGTTAGGTCGAAAAAATGTTCCAACCCGACCCAATCCAACCTATTAACACCTCTATAGATTATGACTTTCTAAATATATGTTATACATTATTTAATTAAAATTAATGCTATATTATGATTTAATATTTTGTATATATATATAATTAAAATTAAACTATTACTCTAATTATTATTAAAATTAATGTTATACATTATATACTTTTATTTAAATCTAATACATTTAACCATTTTTAGAATAAAACTATTTAAAATGAGTTATTAATATATATAATTATAATACGACAAAGTTGTCACGGGCACGACTTGATGGGCCGGTTTCCTTAGAATGAAAAACGTGTGTGGGCCCCACCTCTATCCTTTGTTATTTTGAAACGTGGCATTTCTTGGTCGATTTTATTGTCGTTATATATATATATATATATAATTCCAATAATTTTTTATTTATTTAACCAATGAGTGGAGGTCGTGTGGGAATGGGAAAATAACTTTCTTTAATTTTTTTTAATAAGAGAAAAAAAGGGAAAATAATATTTATGGAATAAAATTTGAAATTTATACTTTAAAAAAGAATCTAAAATCTAAACTTAATATTTTAAAATCAACCCTATCCTCAAAATTATGTCTGTTATTAATTAATATAATACGAAACAAAATTTAATACTTCATACTTAAATAATAGAACGGATATTTAACGGATAAAAAATATTGAGTGCAAGTTAAATAGTTTTAGAGTACTCGTCCAATAAAGTTTGAATAAAATATTTTAAAATATTAGTCCTTATCGAAAAAGTTTCATTGCCTTTTTAGTTCGTATTTTTTCTGTTTCAAATATTATTATGTCATATTATATATATATATATATATATATATATATATATCATTTAAAGTTTACGACAAGAACTTAAGAGAGTTCAAATAATTTAATAACTCGAACAACTTGACTACCCAACCCAAACCCTAAAAGTTAGGTTGAACTAGTTTTTTTTCCTCATCAATTTGGGTGGGATTGAGAAAAATTCAGTTTGGATCGACTAATTTTGGGTTGGTTCAAAAAATTCTCCCAATCCAACTTGTATACGTGTACCCGAGCTTCTATAATTATTATGAAGATGAAGATCACTTGATGTGATGTATTATAATTTATGAATGTTTGATATCTAAGTTTTATGAAATCTTAATTATTAATATGACGTGTATTGTAGATAAATAGAAAGTTTAAAAATAAGAAAAATTGAAGAACTCGACTACCAAACTCCAACCCAACCTGAAAATAGAGGGTCGGGTTGTGAGTATTCAGTTCATTCAGGAAGCCAACTCGACTCATATACACCACTACAAGAACTTTTGACGAAAACCGATATAAAAAAAATTGAAAAGACTAAAAGCATAAAGGTTCATTATCAAGACACCAAATCCTATCTTATAAAATAGGATTATCCTTTTAGTTTAGGTATAGTTGAGATTAGAATAAGCCGAAGTCCCCTATAAAATGACCCATGGCAATAGGTGAACTCTCTCTTTGCTTGAAATTGTAACAAATGTCTTCTATTGGAGATCTATTCATCTAGTTTATAAAAGTACTAAGAACAATATATATTGGTATTCTAAGCATTGTAGTAGGTAAAATCATCCATCTTTATGCTACATACTCAAACTCAAACGAGTACCTCGAAGAACTTTAAATAGAGTTAGGCTCACGAAGCCGAACACGCCCTAAAATCAATTCAAACTCAAACGTCCCTATCAATCTAAGTATAACCTCCTCTGTAACCGTTTAAGCTCACTGTTAGCATATATTGTCCTCTTTGGGTTTTTCCTTCTGGGCTTCCCCTCAAGGTTTTAAAACATGTCTGATAAGGAGAGGTTTCCACGCCCTTGTAAAGAATGCTCCGTTTCCCTCTCCAACCAATGTAGGATCTTACATCCTCTCTCTTCTCTTTCCTCGTTGTGTGCACGCTTAATGAGCAATGTGCAATCATGTCCACGTCATGTGCATCCCACTCGAAATATTAGCAAATGTCATGTTCACCTTTGGCATTATCATACTTTAGAGAATATAAAGTCTCCCAAGGAAACATTCCTTTCCGCCAAGAAGAGGTTCCTCCACATGGAACCCAATTCCAAATTGCTTCTTAATCAACAGAAAGAAATAAGGAAAGCATCATAGAAATATAATGAAGCCACGTAGGAATCAAGAAAAGATCTCACAATCTCGACTTTTGGTACATATAGAATAAAATTACTACTCACACTTGAAACGTGTAACAATTCTTCTACTTGTACCAATGTGCCATTTTCCCTAATCCTTACCCATCAGACAACATCTAACTCGAGCATTGAGTAGGCTATATAGAAACCATGATTTAGACATGTTGGCCTTAGAGCATGATGATGTACTCTTGCAATTCAACAAAAAAATCTGCTTAAAATGATCAAAGAAAATAGAAAATCGAAAATCAAATGTGTTGCCAAATAAACAGTAACCTCAATTCTTGGGCTGTGAATTGGCATGTTAATTCTCTGAAATTTTGACTGTGGCGCCATCATCGACATCCCTTCTTCTCCTTGATATTACCTCAGACGCCCAAGATCGTCCCAGCTCGGTCTGAAACTTCCCTACATGCTTAATGGAATAAGTAGTGTTCTACAAGTGGAATAAGAAATGCCCAACACAAGAAACCCGGGACTAACTGAACTTAATTTTGAAATGTACAGTTTACTACTTAAGAACAGAAAGAAAGGCTTACTTTGGTAACTAGAATGGGGTTTACATAAATGCCACTTGGTTATAGATGAAATTGGGATAAGAGGTGCTTATGACCAACTAAAAGTATTCAATTTTTCGTTAATTAAAAGTGGTTCAGAAGTTTCCAAAAATAGATAAAAAGCAGCTAGAGCACTTTTAGAGATGAGGATTCCACCAATTTTCTTCCGTTAGCGCTTATAAAATAAATGTTCACTTCAAAACACTTCACATGCCAAACACACATCAAATAAAAGACAAAAGAAGCCAGCAGTTGACTGAAAAAACTCATCCAAATCCTTTCCTTGTTCTGCACACAGACAAATAACTTTGATTACCACCATCAATTGTAGTATTTGGCGTAGTAAAAGATTTTAATAAGACGAGTTATTTAAGACAAGAATGAACTAATGATCCTACTGAAAGTTTCAGGGGAAATATTAATTCCAAGAATTATGTCAGTCCAGTTGGAAGGTATAAAAAAAGTTGAACCAGAGGGTCATCTGATAGATGCCGTGAAACCAAGATTAAAAGGTTTAGATGCATCAGCCACCTGTCTGTGATATTAGCATCTGACATTCTTCAGACCATAAATGAAAGAAACAAAAATATTGTGAAGATCTGAAATATTTGTGATACTCATTTACTGATTGTGGTGGGTAAGAAATTTATTGGCAGGTGAAGGTACTAAGTTTTTTTTTTTTTTTTTAAAGAGACAATTGTATTGATGTTTGAAATTTACAAAAGGGACGTGTTATCCATGATGTTTAAAAAAAAAAAAAACCTTTCCAATTTACAATGAGGGTGGTATGACTATAGGAGGCAAAAATATTAAACAATTTAACCCAGATATAGTGTGGTAAACAATATTGTCAAAGAGCATAGTATAAGCTTGTGCCTTGTGTGTGAATACTCTTTAATTTTTTTTCTTTCTTTCCACATATCCAAAAGAAAGCCATATGAGATTTTTCCATAGCCAGACTTTTGCATTCTTGGAGGGTGGTATGCCAAGGCTATGTCCAATAAATTTTTTACCTCTCTGAGAAAAGTGAGATGTCATCCGAAGGTACTGAAGATCCTTTCCAAAAATTTTACATAAATAAATGATTTATTGTTTTGTTGTCTTTCTTGCAACGTGGGCATCAACTTTGAAATAGAGTCATATAGGCTTTTTTTTTTTTTGTGCTAATGGCTTTATGGCTATTCCAAAAGAAGAACTTCATCTTTTAGGGTGATTTCCTTTCCATATTGTCTTTGCGTCTTTGCTAGCTAGCGTGAATTTTATTGCACCTACTTTTTTCCCTATGTTCATCATCAAAGATTTTGTAGAGAAGACCCTCTCATGACTAGAAAGCCATGTCAATGAGTCTGCTTCTTTAGACAATACAACTGGGGCGAGGTCGAGACTTAATTCATCCCATTCCGTAGTTTCGTTATCCTTTAGGTTCCTACCAAGCCTCATGTCCTATAATTTGTTGACATCATTCCATATTTCTTGGATCGTAGCCATTTTGCTATGAGAGAGTCTATATAGAAGGGGATATCGCAAGGCTAGCATGATGTTTCCAATCGAGGAATCGGTCCAAAAATATGAGATTCCTACATCACCCACCCTATGGAGAATTCGGCTAGTGATGAGGTTTTGGTGTTTTTCCATGGCCCCTTTTCAGAAGAAGAAGAGGGTCGATTTGTATATGATGTAGGAGTATATTTGACCTTTATAAGTTTTCTTCACAATGCGCTTTCTTCGTGATTATATCTCCATATCCATTTGGCAAGAAGATCTTTATTCTTCTCCTTTATCAAAAATAGACCAAGTCCTACCTTTTCTGCTGGGAGGTCTACGATATTCCATTAGACAAGGTGTGGACTATCTTTCCACAAAAGTTTCTGATCTTTCTATATTCGTAGCCATTTTTTGTGGAATTTCAAATAGAGACATATAGTGATGAAGGAGGTTGGACAGTGTGGCAACTTGTATTAGGGAGAGCCTTCCGTCCTTGGAAGTGTAGCATGATGACCATGTGGATAATTTTATTTCTATTTTTTCAATAATGGTCTTCCAGAGTGAAAGAGATTTGTGGTCCCGTTTAAGGATAATTCTAGGTACATATTCGGCCATTAACCCATTTTACAATCGTTATCTCCTGCAAGGTCTTTGATAATTTTTGTGCTAACCCATAATCTTTGTTTTTTTAGAGATATTTTATCCTGAGAAATTTTCAAAGGTTTTTACTGTCTATGGAGGAGACATCTGACAAATCAGAGAAGAAGATTGCATCATCCACAGATTGAAGGTAAATTGAAGGTGGTTGATACTTATGCCTTCCCTTCCAACCTAAAAGCCCTTTATTTACTCTTTGTATTCGGCCTTGCTATGCTTCAAAGTACAAGACAAAACCTCCTGTTGATCTTAGCTAAGATTCTTGATAGTTCCACAAATGTGGGAAAGAAAATCTGCTATTTCTCCTTGTTTCGTGCTATTCTTGATGGATGTAGTTTATGAGATGAACCGGCTATAAATATGAAGGGGGAAAGAGTACAAAATCATCCTCGCCAGTAGTATTTAAAGACTTCAACAAAGCGCTGTTACTTTGCCATACAAATGTCATAACAAAATTTGTAGTTTCCTCTCATATTTAACCTTTCAAATTTGACATATACTATCCATTAAAGAAAGCAGCTACTCTTGAGAAATATGTCAAACAAGAAAAAATGTGTTAATAATGTCAGGAAAAGAAGACTCACCACTTTCATATTCCAAAGCTTGAAGAATCATCTCCACCTGTAGAAAACCATGAAAAAGTAAATAAAGGTTGAGCATCAAACAAGAACTTCTTTGCTATCAAGCATAATTCTCAAATACACCTACCATGTATACTTCCTCGTCACGCTGTTAAATACACTTCAACGATCCTCACATGGGAAAATAAAAATACCGTATGCTACCCTATTTTTCTTACACACAAATTTTAATCAACCAACTACTGCCACAGCTGCCAGCAACTTTTTTATCCATTATAGAATATGAGCTAACTTCACAGCCTACTGCCAATAATAATCAGCTAAGGTAGACAAGAATTTATTTATCTTAGCATTTCCGTTTTTAGAATTCATATATTGATCAATAATTTTATAAATGATATAATTATTGTGTAGAGTGCATATAGCATATGTGCAAGATGCTTGTTTGAAAGAACAACAGAAAAAGAATAAAAAAACATAGCAAGTATTAAGCATCGAGCTTAGTTACGTCACTTGCTGAGTTTACATAGCTGACCTTATCAAGATCCTTCACAATTTTAGCTTCTGGTGAACTGTTATTTTCATACTCCATCCACAATTCACTTATTTCCTTGGCTGCAATTTTCACACATATTTTTATAAGAAAGAGGTGTCGGCAGACAAACCATGATGCATGCAGGAAAAATGTATCCTGACCCCTAGAATCTCAAAATAAATGACTGAATGCATACCTCTTGAACCACCACCAAGCAATTTGCACATGTGGTCTAATGCTTCTTGTTCTCGTCTACTCTTTTCCAACTTTAAAACCCCATCAAATGGGGTAATGTCACCAACAATTGCTGTTCAAATGATATACAAGTCATGGAAAATTTTGATTCAATAACAGCAGTCCCAACAATTCAAATAGATTGACTTCTAATCCTTTTCGAGGCTACATATTTATCTCGCCTTTCAATGTTACACTTTAGGAGAAATGATCAAACTAGAAGAAATCAAATTGGAGTTCAAAGAAAAATTAATCCCAAGAACATGAAGTTTGTTTCAGAAAAATATCGAGGCAGTATCGATATCGTTCTAATCCAACAGTAGACAAAAGATGTTATCACTGTCTCTTGTAAGGCTAATTAAGTCCAAATGACATTGAAACATAAAACAATAAAGGAAGGGACAAGAAATTATAACTCACCTTCTGCAATGTCATGTACAATTGCCATTTTTATACACCTGAAGATATACATAAATATAGCATCAAAACACCTTCCACATAACAGTACAAGGGGCCGAAAGCAACGACAATGATGAAGAGTGAAACATAATCATAAGAGCTGATCATAAAATGTTAGGAATGGCAAACTTGTCTCTATCGACGCCCGGAATATCCGAACTAATGAGCGCCATTATTCCCATTCGGTACATATGATCTGCTATGGATTCCGGATCCTTGACTCTTCTACGAACCCAGCCAGTTCTTTTCGTAGTCTAATTCAGAGTGAAATAAAATGGCATGATCAAACAACACTTGAAAACTGGAAAATAAATAACATAAACCAGATTTCCGTTTAGTTTATTGACAATCAAGCTATAGATGAATAGGAGAAATTCAGACCCCAGCATTTAAACAGGAAAATGGGAATGAACAGCATCCATTATTCGAGAAATACAGAAAAATCGACAATACTCGCCCTAGATATTCATCCAAACACAGAGCAAGAAACCATAGATAATTGGTTAATGCTTTAAATCCATCGAACAACTTGAAACTCTGGTTCCATTTTTGTATCCCTTTCCCTTACATTTCTAGCGAGGAAACCACCCATCAAACAACTTGAAACAAGAAAATGCATTGTTTGAACGGCAGCATTTAAGGTTACCTTAAGGCGCTGACAGAGGGTGAGAAAATCAATAGCCGAAGAAGCTGAAGCTGCTATGTCGGAGGAAGGAGGAGGATTAAGAGCAGCGCCGCCGTCGACGGGCGTCGAGGAGGAAGGAGCTTCTTCAGCTGCCATAAACGAAGGAGAGCACAAGATAGTTAAGCTCTCGAGTTTAAAAGAAATTTAAAATAGTTAATTTGGTTGGTTGGTTCGTCCGGAGTGCAACTAAGAGTGAGAAGAGGAGTAGCGTGTGACAACGAGTAATCCGTAGCGTGCAGATGAACCGTGAACCAAGTGTCACGGTCATACATTTTCAACCGTGCGGCGTCATGATTCGTCGAATCTTATATAAGGTTTGTCTTTACCAACCGAACATAACTCGTGTAGAATCTAAGCTGGTTCGACTACATACGTGCGCCCGTGCATACATATTCAATCGACTCTGTTTGACTTTACTCTATACTACGTCAAGTCATTCGACTTGACCTTGTCTCTATTAGGCCCATGGTCTCTCTTGTGCACGTGAGTCTCAATTTTGTCATCTAGATTCCCAATCACATGATTTTCATGTCATGATACCATCTCAAGTCCTAGGATATCATCGATATCATCGTAGCTTACTCAGACATGTCCATCGAAAACGGTCCCATGTATTGTTCATCTCATCGGGATCTCCCGAATATCCATCTATCTGAGTTCTATCGAGGTATTGAACCCTCTCATGTCCGTGTCATATCATTTATGGACTCTGTACCAAATAGCGAGTGCATAACCAACCTTCAATAAATGGGGTGGGGCGCAATGTCGACACTGTCTTTAAAAAATTTATTTTAAAGGAAGTCGTCTGAGACACTCGTCTTGCAACGCTCGCTCTCATTGTGCCATAGAGTAGCTCGGTGGTAACCAGGTGCATTTCCAATCCTTTTAGAGTGGACAGTAAATTGGGCCGAACTCAGCCCAATATACTTTAAAGAACACGGCCCAGAAAAAGTAAAATTGGGCCTAACTCAGCCCAATATTATAAAGAACACTGAAAGGCCCAAAGTCCAAAAAGAATCTATAAAGAGGCTTCTGGAATGAAAATGTCTTCGGTTCTTCCAACAAATTTATAAACGCAGAGTCTCGTCTTCTCTCCCTAAAACCCAGAATCTGAGAACCAAATCGTTGCAAAATCTTAGAATTTTGTTGATTCGTGGGTGAAAATGGTTCGGATAGAAATGGAGGAATCCGAGGACGAAGTTCCCAGTCCTCCGAAGGCCTCTGCATCAACCCAAAAAACGACGGATTCAAGCGGTGTTCCGTCAACATCTAGTGCGAGCAAAGAACCTTCCGATGGCTACGAGACTGCCAGCGATGGGGAGCTTGGTGATAGTGGTGATGAGAATCAACAGCATCCTGAACAACATCCAGAACACGAGGAACAAATTGCCGCGCTCAGTGAAGATGAGATTAAAGAGGTCTTTCCCTCCTTTGAGCTCTGTTTAGTGCTGTTTTTTTTTTTTTTTTTTTTTTTTTTTTTTG